TTGGGAATTTATTCAAATAGCTGATGTGAGATTAGTGCCTTTATCATAGCCTGATTCACATATACTTGAGTCTCATTCTAGACTTAGAATCTTGCTGTTTATTGTCAGTGCCACCAACACCATGCTGCTTTTCAGCGTCCAGGCTTCCACGCCATAGCACTGGGCAGAGCTCGCTCCGCCCCCACCGGTCTGCCCCCCATTTCCCCACCTCCAAGCCCCGCCAATAGCGCTCTTCTTTGCCAGGGTTTCCCTCTGCTCCTTCCTGCACAGTTCTCCACACGAACCTTACCGGCAACCTGTCTGGTCCAGGGGGAATAAAAAAAGAGGAAGAAAGAGGAAAAAGAAGAGGAAGAAGGAGGAGGAGGGGGAAAAGAAACCAGTGGTTTTTGTTTAGGGAGCGCCTTAAATTTATAGGTTTAAGGAGAACCGAGAGCTTTATGTTGAATCTTCTTATTCAAGAACAGGGCATATATTTCCATCTGTTCAGATCTATTTTTATGCCTTTTAGAAGTTTTTAAACATTTTCCTCTCACAGATTCTGCCCATTTCTTGTGAATTTTATTACAAAGAATTTTATGTTCATTTGTCGTTACTATAAATGGTGTCTTCTGGTAGATCTTCTAGCTGGATACTGTTTGTACATATCAAGGATATTGATTTCTCAGGCTACCTTTTAATCCTCTTAAAAGCAAACAGTTTTCTTTAGCCTACTAAGAGCAAATAAAGATTTTATTTTCAAATTTATTTGATGGAAAGAATTCAAACTGAATCAAAAGAATCGGGCTTTCTCAACAACATAATCCTACTGTGGTATTTCAGTGTGTATCACAAGGAAGGGCAAAAACTCACCTTTGTGTATTCATCTTTGGCCTTGGTGAGCATTCGCAAGATGTCCACTTCTGTGCCCTCTCCTGAATTGAGGATCACTGGGGAGAGTCCCGCCCCAGCTCCCTGGTGGGCTTTCAGCTGCTCACACCGCGTTAGGCTGAAAAACAGAAGAGGAAGGGCCACACAAGAAAAACCAATTCAACAGAAATGGTTAAAACCACCCTATTTCTCATCCAGTTGTTTTCGTCCTGCTACAAGCCTATGAGCAATAAGCCTGCTTCAGAACTGAAGGAAGAAACAAGGGAGCTGAGATCCTCAGTTCACCTGACAACAGACACGGGTCCAGTGCAGGGGCCGGCAGACTCACCCGCAGGCCGAGTCCGGCCCTGCCTGCTTCTGTAGAGGAAGTTACAAACACAGCCATGCTCACTTGTTCACGTGCTGTTCATAGCTGCTCTCACACTACGGGGCAGAGGCGAGCGGTAGCAACAGAGATCCTTTGCACTGCAAAGCCTAAAATGTTCACTATCTGGTTCCTTTCGGAAGAAAGTTTGCGGCCGGGCG